CTATCAGATTGGTCAAGCATGACTTACCGTTGTTGAATCCACGCTGACTACTCACGATAAGCTTCCTTTCCTCAACATGCTTTGAGATGGCAGCAAGAACAAGTTGTTCCATCATCTTTCCAGGGGTGGAGGTAAGGCTGACCAGCCTATAGTTACCCGAGTCCTCCTTCTTGCCTTTTTTGAAGACTGGAGTAACATTGGCTTTTCTCCAGTGCCCAGTACAGGGGGCAGTCAATCCCCTAGTCTGGCTGGCCACACTGTTCCTGATGCAGGCCAGGATGCTGTTGGCCTTCGGGGCCATCTGGGCACGCTGCTAGCTCATATTCAGCCGGCCATCATCCTTTTCCACTGTGCAGCTTTCCAGCTACTTGTCCTCAAAGCCTGCAGCGTTACAGGGGTTGTTGTGGCCCAAGTGCAGGACCTGGAACTTGGCCTTTGTGAACCTCATACAGCTGGCCTCAGCCCATCGATCCAGCCTGTCCAGATCCCTCTGAAGAGCCTTCCTGCCCTCAAGCAGATCAACACTCGCAAACAACTTGGTGTCATCTGCAAACTTACTGAGGGTGCACTGGATCTCCTCGTCCAGATCATTGATAAAGACAGTAAAGAGAACTGAGCCCTGAGGAGCACCACTTGTGACTGACTGCTGACTGGATTTAACTCCATTCACCACAATGCTTTGGGCCTGGCCATTCAGCCATTTTTTTACCCAGTGAAGAGTACGCCAATCACTGCCATAAGCAGCCAGTTTCTACAGGAAAATGCTGTGGGAAACGGTGAAAAGCTGTACTACAGTCTAGGGAGACAACTTCCACAGCCTTTCCCTCCAGTCAGTGGATCACCTTGTCACAGAAGAAGATCAGGTGAGTCAAGCAGGACCTGCCTTTTATAAACCCATACTGACTGGGCCTGATCACCTGGTTGTCCTGTATGTACTGTGTGATGGCACTCAGTATGATGTGCTCCATAACCTTCCCTGCCAGTAAGGTCAAACTGACAGGCCTGTAGTTCCCCAGATCCTCGTCCTGGCCCTTCTTGGGCCAAGATGGGCATCACTTTGGCTAATCTCCAGTCGACTGGGACCTTCTCAGTTAGCCAGGACTGCTGCTAAATGATGGAAAGTGGCTTGGTGAGCACTTGCCGCAGCTCCGTCATTACACTTGTGTGGATCCTGTTTGGTTCCACAGACTTGTGGGTGTCCAGGTGCTGTAGCAAGTCACTAACCGTTTCCCCTTGGATTCTAAGGGCTTCATTCTACTCCCCATCCCTGCCTTCCAGTTCAAGGGGCTGGGTATCCAGAGATAAACTCTCCCTTTTTTACTGATTTCCAGCCAAAGATCTCTGTTCGATTCAGCCAGGCCATCTTCTTCCCTGCCAGATCATCTTCTGGCACATGGGGATGGCCTGCTGCTACGCTTTCGAGATTTCCTTCATGAAGAATGCTCAGCCTTCTTGGACTCCTTTGCCCTTCAGGACAGACTCCCAAGGGACTCTGTCAGACAGTGTCCTAGGCAGGCCAAAATGACAAGCAGCTGGTAACGAAGTTAAACTCTGTAGCAGCACTTGATGGTTAGGGCTTCTGGGCTTATGTCGTATGGTTTAGCCTGCTTTTTACATGCAAGTACCTTAATTGAAACCATCTAACACATAGCTTACTGCAAGCCGTTATTCTTTATCCCTTTCTCTTTTAAAGCCTTTAGTATCTAAACAAAATAGCCTGGAGAGAGATAGAATTTTGTAATAGTGTTGTTTTCAGATTTTAGGGTGTTGGTTTTGTTTGATGTTTGGGATTTGTTTGTTTGTTTGTTTTTGGGTGGGGTTTTTTTTAGTTTTTCATACCTTTGCTTTTCAATTTTACATCTCTGTAACTGAACACTGAAGGGCTGTTTAAAATGCTATTCTCTTCATCGCTGTGTATGTGGTATGCCTGCCCACTGAAGTATGATTATGTAAAAAATATTTACACGGGAAGTTACATACAATCGATATCTGGGAGGGGAAATCCAAACCCATAAGGAGAGTGATGTGTCCTACTCGGAACTTGAATGCTGTTTGCGTCATGAGAGCATTTTGGCAGCAGAGGGAGCTGTGAGACGCTGAAGACCACAAAAATACAGGCTAAGAGAGGATTCAGTCATAAAAACTAGCTGAAGGAAAAAATGTTTTTCTTCATATTAATTTATAGCCAGCAAAAAGACAGTCAAGGAGAACAAAGAACAGTGGAGTAAATTTTGCGAGGTGTTTTTAAAGCCCATTAAAATAATAATTTAGGTGTACCTGTTTAGATGAATCAGTCTTTTTCTAATGATGGCAGCAGAATCATGGGTGCAAAAAGCTTGGAAGCCAAAAAAAGAGCTCGGGGCATTTGCTGAAGGACAAGAGTGCCAGCAGCACGGAGGTTGGCTCTGCTCCTGTGTCAGAAAGGGTGCTTGCGAGGATGCTGCCCTGCAGACATGGGGATAGGACCAGGTGACCACCAAGAGGCATTGTTAGAGGGGCACAGCAGATCTGATTTAGTGCTGATCCTCAAGAGGCCATTTCCCTGCAACGCTGAGGAAATACCTCAACTCGAGGGAGGTGAGGCTGGGTTCAAAATAGCACTTGAGACTGGACAACATGAGTAGAATGTGGTGTGTATTTGTCACCCATCAGAAACACCAGTGTTTGATGTTGGTGTAGTCTGAAATTACTATCTTGTGAATATACCTTCACTTCATGACCTTAAAGAAACTCATGCAGAGCCTGCTAATACTCTTCCTCACGCAGAGTTATTTGAACCCCTGTTAAACTGGACCAACAAAATCTGTGTGTTTAAAAGCATGGTCATACTTTTAGAAACAAATAAAATGACATTATGTTCTGTGAGATATCCATGTATCATGGCCAAGGTGGGATGAGGCTTTGAGCAACCTGGTCTAGTGGAAGGTGTCCCTGCCCATGGCAGGGGGGGTGGAACTAGATGGGCTTTAAGGTCTCTTCCAACACAAACTATTCTATGGTTCTATGATCATCGCTACGTGCTTTATATTATTCCCATTGGTATGAGAAAAGTATCAATAGGATATCAGGTAAGTCCTCTGTGAGCTGTATTATCACACCATATTTTATGTTTATTCCATATTTATATTTACATAGAACAGCCTTGGAGACTTGGGTCTTGTCAGGTTTCTTTTAGATTTTGCCATCCTTATTAGACAATATTCAATACACGGAGAAAATATTTACCAATATAAGTAATTATGGTCAGGATACTAAGTTGCCATTTGAGAACCAGTGCAAAAAATATTGAAGTTTTGCTCATACAAAATAGTTTCTGCAGCCTTTTACAGTGTGGTACTCAGGTGGGACTTGGTACAAATAGCATTTTAGCATTTCTTATCACAGTGTAATTGGGTTTTGTTTATTCAAGGCAAGACAGTAAACATAAGGAACTAGCCTGTGTTTTCAACAGGGCTAACTAATTGTAGCTCAGGAGGTGCTGTGAGGGGATACAATGAAAAAAAAAAAAACCAAAACAGAGGTTATGTAGAAAAATGGTATTATTTTCATAGGTTTTTGCTTCTGGTGCTGTTCCACATGAAGAACTTAGCCCCTTTTGAAGATTCTCTTGGCTTCAACTCCTTCATATACATAGGTCTGTTAAGAAATTAAGAAGAAAATCAGTGGCTGCTGTTACAAAGTTTCATTTCACAGATGCCATTGAGATGGTCAGTTGTGATTTAATTATGACTGGTGGTTGTGTGGAGCCTACCAGCCCTCCTGCAGGCTCTGAGGAAAGGGACATAAGGAAAGCAGCCTGTTGTCAATCAGCATAAATTATCTATGCAAACATCTGAACCACCATGGGAAAGCTTTTGGGGAGTCCAGAAAAACCCGATATGCGGAAGCGGTGTATTCCCAATACCACTGCTTAGCAAGTTTTATCTATGTGACTGCTTTTGTTAGAAGGGCGAAGAGCACTGGGGATTGGACTGTGTGGTTTTGATATCTCAAAGCTCACATTTGTCTGCAAAGTTGTTTTTTAAAAATTTGTTCTTTTAAGAAGCTTGTGACCTGCTAGCAGAGAGGATCTTCAATCATTACAGTTCAGTCCAGTTTCTGACTCTACTGCAGAGCTGTGAAAAAATTCCCTTTTGCCTCAAACTTACCCCTCTGTGCCATCACCCTCTGCCCCAAACTTTGTTTTAAATAGGCATTTGTCAGCCATTGACAGCATTATCCTGGAGTAAACTCCTGTGGTAAGGCTTTTACAAGGCAGACACTTGGAAAAGGGCCTTCAGTCAGAACACACCTGTATAGTCTATGTCATACACACACATACCCTGCCCCCATATACAGCCTGTATTCCCAGGTTTCCGATAAGATACAGTTCACATGGGTACAAAAACATAATCACAGATTGCAAGTTCTATTTTAAACTTTTAAATTTTGATAGATTACTCGAAATGAAACCTTCAACTAAAGATAAAGACAATTATCTGGCTTGAAGAAAATATTTCCTATTTTCAGAACATCTTTCACATTTTTTTTCAGTTCATGATATTATACAGTTGTATGTAAGTGACTGCTTAACTCACCTGAACAAGTTCATCACCTACAACTTCTCTGTATGCTGTGAGTGCTTTTCCATTATCTTTTCTAGTAAATGTTCCTACAAGTTTATTTCCTTCCATGTTCCAAGAACCCTATAATGGGAAAAAAACCCCAAATATTTTACAATAGATATGATATGGTTTAAAGACTGCAGAAAAGCTTAGAAGTGAGAAGAGATTAAAAGACTGTAATAATGGTGTTTTTTGGACATTGATGGAAAGGCTGTAAAAATGAAATTTTAATAAACCCAAAGGCTGTAAAAATGAAGTTTTAATAAACCCACTAGTTTATTTAATTGCATAATCATCAAGCTAGATGTTTTAGTGCTCAGTACATCTTCTTTTAATTAATTGCATCAACAGAGAAAAAGTAACTTCTTATAAATACCCACTGTGCACTCTAGGTGGTGTACTTGAGTATGGTAAGAAGTAAAATTGTAATCACCTGGATTCCATCGTGTGAAAATTGCTACATACTGTGCTTTTTGGGCACTCTGTGGAACCATGAGTTTCATAGCAGAGTGCTGAACCATTAACAGTTAAGAATACCTTGTGCTCTTGCATATAAGCTGCAAGCATTCCTGAACTGTCACACTTTAATGTAAAATTTAACTTATAAACTAGGAAGGCAAGTCATTCATTTTGAAACTGTACTTCATGAAGTTATTATCATATAATAAATATATAATTATATAGAAAGTATCTTACAGTAAGCTCAGTCCCATCAGCCAGACTGTACTCAAAATTCACTCCCAGAGTGAATTCAATTTCTATGGTCCGGAAGTTGCTTGATTCTTTGACAGTAAATTTGTTTCCGTCTTGTTGAATAGTGATCTTCAGATTATCATGGGCTCCTAACTTTCTTTTCATCATGTTAACACCTAGAAAAATCAATTAACATCAATCAGAAAAAAACCCACCCCAAAACCTAGAGCATCATATTTCTTTTTTTAGTGATTCTTATATGGCCAGGCAAGTTTATTCCACCATTCTGATCCAAATTTTTATTCTTCTACACTGTTTATTGAGGCCATATTCCCCAGTACTGATATAATACAAACCACTATCCAACTGGAATGGTTAGGTTTATATGCATATAATGCACAGTTTGTACAAACTTAAAGTAAGTATTAGGTTGTTAAAAAGACTTGAATCGAGTGTTTCTATAAAATTGAAGAATGGTGGTTTCCTCCCTGTGTAATTTTTAAACTAGTTTCATGTTTTCCTGCTGTAGAATTCTGCTTAAAGTTTATAATTCAAATTCTCCAAACGTTTTCCTCAAATGTAGACTTAGAGATTTTTTCCTCTGCTGGAATTATTTAAATTGCCTAAGATTAACATAATATAATTAAACTCAGAACTTTTCTCAGTATCTTTTTCCGCCCATGTGGAATCACTTGAAGAGAAACGCAGTACACTCTGCAAAGGCAGAGCAGCAAACGGCAAAAGGACAGGCTGGCCAGAAGGTAGTTCACAGACAGCTCGAGTCTGTAGTCAGCCATAGTGGCATTGTTCTTGCAGAAGGCATTGGAAAAGTAAGACTTACCCATCGTCTCCATGAACTTTTCATAGTTCTCATTTCTGTCTATTTTCCAAGTACCATTAAAAGCCATGTTTATGTCTGTAGAAGGACTCTTCTGAAGTAACAGATCTTTGCAAAGCAGATTTATGTACTGGCTTATCTTGAAAGCAATTTACAGGATGATGTGGCTGACTAAAGCTCAACCGACGCACTGATCTTTTCAAGGAGAAATTTACTGTTGTTTAATCAAATTTCCAATCGTGACCACGCTGCTTGCTGAATCTCTCTCTTATTGCCCCCAAATCATAGTGCTATCTTTATTGCTCATCTTCATCAAGAACTGCTAATCCTCTCATTTTATTCACCATACTTGAGTTGTAGTAAAAATCAGCTATCTAGTGAAAGCAGTTATTAGACTAAGAACATTTTCTCTCTCTGTTGTGTCTTCATGCTTGGGGGAGAGTCTTCATGGAACTGGAAGAAATATATTTACCCAACAAACCAGATGCAAATCTCTACTTTGTCTATTATAATAACCTGGTAGAGATCTGTTCTGCTCAACATAATATTCATGGGGCAGAGGATTGACAGAATGTGTGCAGGTTGGTTCAGAAAACTGTTCACTTGTTTCTTGTCTAGTGCTGAGCTATGAAAAATGGGGTGATATTCTGTATTAATGTGCTCACTCTCTAATATATAGTTTAAATTCTGAGCACTTTCTACAAATTTTCTTCATTTTAGTTAGTGCATCTAACCCATTTCTACAATAGAAAAAAGATGTGGGGCTGAGGGAATTTACCTGGTGTGGTTGATTTCCATAGGTCCCAGAGTTTGCCTGTTCAAGGTTAATGCAGAACATGAGTCTTCCCTGACTTAGCTGCTTCTTGCCCCACTCCCCGTCCCCTTTGTAGCACTTTGGTGCTACTTGAAATTGAGCAAAACTATTGACCCAGCTTTTGCCTTTACCAAGTTCAGGGTTATTGTTCGATTCGCATGGGTGACGTCGGCTTTGCTACCTGTTAGCTTCAAAATGTAAATGTAAATCCTGAACGTCAAATCACATTTTGCTTAGCACACAGGTGATGGGGTTGTGCTCTAATTACCAAATTTTGACTGTCTCATGTTATCATAATCTTGCACATCTATGGATTGCAACCTGGAACAAGAGGTTTTACTGAAGCATGACTATAAATTTAGAGCTTTGTTAGTGATACCAGAATAGTATAGCTTTTCACTCTGGTCAGCTTCATTTTGAAATCCATAGTAATCTGGCAAACAGGCTGGAGAGGAAAAACAGCCTGTGCTGGGTTCAGCCAGGAAAGAGTTAAATCTCTTTACTGTGGCTGCTAGGAAGCTGTGTTCCTGGATGCAGGGAGCAGCACTGATAAGTTCTTAGCTGGCACTGAGGAATGTCTGTACCAGTTTCAAGGTCTTTTCTCCGCTTCTGATACTGCGGCTGCGGATACTACCAGCTCTACTACTACTACTTCTGATACTACCAGCTGTCGCGGTCTTGCTACAGAGAGTGCT